TAAAAATGCTTTAGCAATTTTACTTATATACTTGGGATCATTATCTTGTTAAAAGCATCAATTGTTTTCAAGTAGTCTATTAATTTCTTATTTATAATTTTGTAAAATATTGATATAAAATTTTGCATTTATAATTTCTTTAAAATAAAATAAAAAAGTTTTTCCTTTTATACAAAATCCTTCTTATGCAAAGATTTTAGTATGATTTTTAGGTATTCTTTTAACTAATCTTATATCTTTATACTATTGAATAATTGTATTTCTAAATAGTTGAAATGTTGTTTTATCAGAAAATAATGTTTTTTTTTCAGTTATCATCAAGATGTTTTTTGCTCAAATAATACAAGCTTCTTTAAGAGCAATAATAAGTATAGGTGTTTCTAAAAATAAATTATTTTTGTAATCCATATTGGCCAAATGTCTTAAAATTGTTGTATATAATATTTTAATATTAATATTTGATAATTTAATTGCTAAAGTTCTTGAAAAAAGTTTTGAATTATAATATAAATATTGATCAATTGCTTTTTATTTATGTGTTATAATTTTTTTAAGATGATCACTATTAGATTTTCTTGAATTATTGCCTTTTGAATTCAATTTTTTGAGATTGTAATAGATAGTTAACATATTTATATTAGTTTTGAAATATATTTCATATATAGAAATAATTTCATTATTTTACAAATATAATATAGTTTGTCATTAAGTATTTTTTTTAGAAAGTAATATTGTAAGAATAAGTTTATAACAAAAATAAAATGATCAAATAATTTTAAGTACCTATATATATTATTTGAAATATATTGTTTACATATTTAAAATTTTACATGAATTGTTTTTGTTTTGAAAAAGTTATATATGTTTATATTATATAAATAATATTTCAAAATTTTTTATACCATACTGTATATACAGTATATAGACAATAAGGATATCTAATAATATATTATTAGTTATTATAACAGACTTTAAGAATATTTACAAATAGTATAAATAATAAGATATAACAAATTCTTTCAATAAAAAAACTACAAAAAATAACAAAAAAACAAAAAAGATCCCAAATATTAATCAAAAAATCCAAAACAAAAATTTTTATTAATCAAAAAGATTAAAAATAGATATTCATATATAGTTAACAAATATATGATTAATTATATTAAATATTTATTCAATATAAAAAAAATATTTACAATTAGTCTTTATTCCAAGGGTATTGATAATGTCTTGACAGGTTAGCTATCTTAAGGAGATTTTAATATTTTGTCTTACAAGACAAGCAACAAGTTATATGATAAAGCAATTCTAATGAGATTATTTTATAGTTTAAAAAATCATTGACTTTTATAATTCTTTGCATGTATATACAACTGTATTTCAAATTATTATTTTAATAAAGTTAAATAAGACAAATACCTATTCATTTAAAAAAAAAAAAAATTATATTAACAAATGCTCTGCTATTTAAAAAAATATAAAAATATTTTGTTCTAATATATTAATATTCAAACTAATTAAAAGTAAAAAACAAACATATAATGTTTTTGAAGTTTTTGTATTTTATATCAAACATATTTATACATCAATGCTTACTAATGAAATATAATTATAACCATAATATATTAGCATTTAAACAACAATATACTGTATATTATTTTACATTCAATATACAGTATATGCATTGTATATACAGTATCAAAACAGAATTTATGCATATCCTAATGCAGTCAATGTTTGTAGATCCCTTACGCGTCATTTATAAGATCCTGAAAATTTTGTGTTGGCAACTGCCTAATCTTTTTCTCTCCTTCTTCTATGTAATCAATAATGGCCGAGAAAGCAAAAATTAAGACTACTATTTCCTTTGACATTCCAGCTTCTATGATTCATTCTAACGAAAGTATTTATACTCCGCCCTTCGCGACTACATATAATATGTATTGGCAATTGCATCTCAGGGTAATTGCATTTTATGTGAATGATTACGAATTTGAAGAGTAATAAAAGGCAATCTGATTAATTCGATAAAATCATGTTCATCAAAGAAAAGTACGAATGATCCCAAATATTGTACTCTAACCCTTAATGCTATACCAAATTCCGATGAGAGTGTTTCTTCTTCCACTTGGGATGATCGAAAAAAATTCTCTGCCACGATTTTCATGAGAAATCCCGATTTGGACTTGG